AAGCTTACTTTTCCTCCGTCTTTTGGTTTGAGTGATGTAAACTTTCTCAGTGTCACCCGTCATGTGTCTGGAACATCCGCTGTCTATATACCATTTATTTGTTCTGGATGCCTTGAGACATACCTGCAAAAATTACAATCATGTTTTAGGTACCCATACCTTCTTGGGTCCTTTTTGGTTAGTATGAGTTATTTTTGGTGCATAAGTACCTTTGGGCACCCATTTTAATGTTCCGTAATCTCCTTTCTTCTTATAGTAACAAGAAGAAGTTGAATGGCCTTTACGGTTGCAATGAGAGCAAAGTGCAAAAGGATTTGAGGAATGCACAGAATTTCTAAAATATGTAAGATATGATCTACCACTACTCTTTTTCTTTCCTTTCGATTTATCTTGGGTTGGATCGTATCCTATACCAGTCTTGTCCATAGAGCATCGTTGAGCTCCTAGAATCACCTTAAGCATTTCGCTACCTTTAGTGAATTTTTCTAAGGTTCTGGTAAGATCTTCAATCTTTCTTTCATTCTTTTCACAACTTTTGCAAGTCAAAGTCGAGTCTGTATTGACTTCAACCTTTGATTGTTGATCTTCTAAAAACTTTATCCTTTTCTTAGAGCTAACTAACTCTTTTGCAATTCTTACTAATTCTAAATGTAAAGCATTGTATTCGGACTGCAATTCATCATAAGATGGTTCAGAAATTATTACCTCGTCTGTTTCTGATTCCTCGTTTTCTTGGGCCACTAGACAGATATTAGCTGTCTCTTCATCATCACTTTCTTCTTCTTCATCGGAGGAACTGTCTCCCCAGATTGATGTGACGAAGGCTTTCTTCTTTCTGAATCTTTCTTTCTTCTTTCTTTGTCCTTCGCTCTGGAGAGTTGGGGACATTCCGCCTTGATATGTCCTGGCTTCTTACATTCGAAGCAAATGATTGGATCCTTTGATTCGTTCGGATATGAGGAAATTCTGCGTTTCGGCTGAAACTTCTTTCCGGTTCTGTTTTTGTAGAATTTCTTGAACCTCCTGACTATAAGGCCCATTTCATCATCATCAAGATCATCTTCATTATCATCTTCGCTCTCTTGAGTTTTAAGAGCGATGCCTTTCCGGTTCTTCTCATTCATCTCCTTTTTGTATTTTTGCTTGCTCTCATATTCAGCAAGGCTCCCGAACAGTGCTGCGACAGAACCAATGGATTCTCCTTTGGTTTCTTCAATAGCTGTTACTTTCGGTTCCCATTCTTTTGTGAGACCGCTCAGTATTTTCCTCACTTGATCTTCTTGACTATATTTCTTCCCAAGTGCAGTGAGGTGGTTTATGAGATGTGAGAATCTGACTTCCATATCTCGGATACTCTCTCCTTCCTTCATTCTGAATAACTCGAATTCGGTGGTAAGAGTGTTGATTCGACTCTGTTTTACACCGGTGGTTCCTTCATGAGCTATCTCCAGAGCCTCCCACATTTCCTTCGCGGTTTCCAGACTTGAGACTCTGAAGTATTCCCTCTGACTAAGCGCACACGTGAGTATGTTGATAGCTTTGTCATTTAGAGTCACCAGCTTATCTTCCTCATCGAACTCCCTGGGACTCTTGCGTACTTGCTGGCCATCTATTATTTTCATAGGGACATAGTTGCCGTGTTCTATTACATCCCACAGCCCATACTCTGTGGCCTTAATGAAGATTTTCATCCTCATTTTCCAGAAGGTATAATTTTCTCCACTGAAACCTGGCGGCTTAGATGTTGAGCATCCTTCGGGTAGCACGCTATCTCCAAATCCTGCCATTTGATCTCTCTTCGGACTGTTAAATCCTTCGTGAAGAGACCTGCTCTGATACCAAATGTTAGAAACAATCTCACCCAAGAGGGGGGTGAATTAGGTGAGTTACAAAAATTTACAATCAAAAGCGTGTAAGTAATGAATAAAAACAGAGAGTCAGAGTATGGAGAATTTTAACCGCAGAGAGGAGACACAAGATTTATACTGGTTCGGTCTAAACCACGTGACCTACTTCCAGTCCCCAGAACACCTCTGGGTATTTCACTATCTTCCAAGATCGACAGGGCTCTTGGTGCCTCGGTACAGTAATTGAATCGCTCAATCACTCCCCCTTACTCCCGTAAGGATACAACCCCTCTCAAGAGTCCACACTCTTGAGTGTCACTCAAGTTTTAATAAAAGTAGTAATTGGCTCTCTTACAGAGTGAATTTAATGATAAACACTGATGCTCGGTAGTAACGTGAAAACAGAGTATTGAATGCGTAACTAAATGATCGCAGTTGGTAGTTCCGATATTCAATCTCTTCATTAATGCTTCTTCGCGCCTTTTATAGTTGATATCGTTAAGTAGCCGTTAGACGGAAGAGCTTCTAGCCGTTGTGACTTCGTTTGCGTGTTTCGCTGGTTTCAACGGCTCCGCCATTAATGCGTCTGAGCTTCTGACACTGTAGGTCGCAGTCTACTTAATCCCGTTGAAGAGCCGTTGCACTCGTTTTCATTAATCTGCATATTTTAAGCTTTGAACAAATGAGAGTTTTGTGGTGAGTGCTTTAATCTTGAACATAGAAAGAAAGCTAATTTATCATTCAAAGATTTGTGACGAAATCATTTATCAGTAAGAAGAACAGAAAGTCATTCTGGTTTAGTTTGATCGAAAAGATGATCGATTACTTGATGATAGATCAAGTTATCGATAAACAGAATGAAGACTTTTCGAATTAGATCACTAAAATTATCGATCAAGTGTTGGATCATTGACTCTAAGAATTATCATAGAAAGAGGAGATTGTTCCATGATCGAACAAGTGATCGAACACATGTTTGTTCGAACAGATTATCGATAATTCAAATGTTATTGAAATGAAGCTTCAGTCATTGATGATCGAACATCTTATCGATAAATGTATGATGGATAATGTTATCGATAAAACATGGTTATGTATATATTCAATGAAAGACACAGGCTATCTGAAATGATCGAACAGTTGATCGATCAATGATCATTCGAACAAGTGATCGATAAAGTGAAGAAAGAAGTTTATTCCTGTAAGGTAAAGGAAATGATTATCGATCACGTTTTGTGAAAACATGAATTCCGGGAAATTGAATGATCGATCATATTATCGAAAAACCAGTGATCGATTACTTGATCGAAAAATAGTTCACCATAACTTAATGCGAATAATCAATCCTTAGACTCTTTATCGATCACGTTATGTGAAAACTTATTTAAGCAAACAAGTTAAACTTATCGATAATGTTATCGATAATTTAGTTGTAGCAAAACTGAGTAAGAGTAGATAAGGACATTGATTATCGATCATGTGATCGATAATTTTATGATCAATAAGGTTATCGATCCATCAGTGAATTTGATCACCTGCATTCAGAGAGTTAGAGCATAAAGTTCGAACACGTAATCGATAAACAAATGATCGGAAATATGATCGATAAATTTGTAACAGAACTAATGTGCAGAACAAGTAGATTGTGTTACCTTTTATCGAAGTCGTTATTGATGACTGACTTATCGATAACTTGATCGATAAATACACTTCAGATTTGGGTCTCTTATCAGTAACTCGATTGTTTACCTGATATTATCGATCAGCTTATCGATAATTTACCATACTCTTATGTGATTTTTACGTTAGCGATTATCGATCACTTTATCGATAAATTACTCATCGAATAGTTCTTCGATCCAAAAAGCCTACTATAGACCTGATTTACACTTGGTCATTTATCTGAAACCTTAGCGATAAACGATTGCTCGATCAGTTGATCGATCAAAATACTTAACCTTGATATTCTGACTTTGTTATCATCAAAACTATAATCCTAACACTCAATAATTATATATGTTTATAAAAGTATCTAAAGAAAGAAAAAAATTAAATAATAAATTTAGAGAAAATTGGAAAAAAGTCTTCATTAAAAATTTAATTGGTGAGAAAGATTTGATAAATTTTTATACACACAGAGTAGCGGCACTTTGCAAGTTAAACTTTTATACACACCCTTTAATTTAAATCCTTTTTACCAATTAAAATTTTAATAAAGGAACTTTCCCCCAAATTTTCCTAAAATTTAAGTATTTTCAAGTTTTTTATAATAACACATTATTTTGATTTTATAATTTTGATTTTAATATTTCTCTTATAATTATCACATCATAGACAACTAATATATGTATTATTTAATAAATTTATGTCTGATTCAATCATTTTACTTCTAAACTTATTTTTCTACTCCTTATCTAAATAAGTTTTAGTTTGTCAAACTAATTTTTTTACAAATGTCAGTCTAACCATAAATCACAGTTCACCAACCCTATGTTTGGTATGAGGAAAGTGGAGCAGAAATGAAGGGAAGAAGAATTTTAATGAACTTGATTTTAGAAATTAAAAAAGTGGGATTAGAAGTTTTTAATTAATTTTTATTAATCTTTTATCTTACAACTTCTCTCTATTAAAATGTCAAAATCATATTTCTTCAATATTTTAAATTGAGCTCATTAAAATCCCCTCTCCCCTCCCTTATACCAAACGGACCATAACTTACTATTACCCTAACTTACGTTTTTGTAAAAGTCAAATGAAGCAAACGTTATTACTAACCCAAACACATCCTAAAACTTATCCAAAGAGTAAGAAGAGAGAGAAGATAGATTAATAGTAAATGAGTGGTTGTGTAAGAGGAGAGAAGATATCAAGAATTTCAGAGGCGTCTTGTGGAGAGTCTAGCCTAAGTGAAAATTTTGAATGAATTACATGCTGTCAATGGTTACTATTAATGCCCTTGATATCATGAGAAGCATAGGTTCCTATTTCCTTCATATAACGACTTGGAAAATTCAGGGCCATCTTGATCGAAATAGTTTTGTGGTATACATATTTTCTTACTATCCACTATCGAGTTTTGCACTAAGCACTGAAGTTTCTAGGATTTATAGACTTTCTGAGCTTAGTCCTGATATAATTGTGCTGATGCTACAGGAGATGAACAAAATTGATGCCTATAAACAAACCTGTTGTGATCCGAAGGAGCTCGTTGAACGCTACAAGAAACGCTTCTTGGTAAGTACTTGCAAAAAGATCTTTTATGAGCAAACCCATACTTTCAAAAAAAAAAAAAAAACTTTTTTGTTTTATGCATTAAAACTCACCTCACATGTTTGCCACGTAGAGTGCAAATACATAAACTAAGCCAATCCGAACACTCAAGTATGCTTATTTATGCTGGAATTTTAGCTCATAGTTCACAGGGCCGTTGTTTTCATTTGTTTTATTTTATTGAATCTAGTTGTTCACTTTTGTGTTTAGGCACGTCTATGAACTCATTCATCTAGACTGTAGAGCTTGAAGATCGGTTGAGAAATCAAGGCGTCACCATGAGATCGTGATGCATTATCTTGAGACCAGGTTGTTTCTTCCACATCATGAACCCAAAATGTAGATATGTGCTGTGAATACGTGGACTGAGTAAATTACAATCCATTGTATAGATGTCCCTCCTGACGCATTTTAAATGTTTTTGAAACCCCCAATCTGATCTAGTCGACATCTTCGATTATAATTGCAGAAATGTGCCTATCTCTCATCTCCAAACAGTTTGGAGAGGGTGTCAGCTGCCTCGAGATGCGTCTCAAGTTTTGCCGTCCCCAAATGTGTTTTTTTTTTGGGGTTCTTTTTGATAATTAAATTCTACATAAAATGAATAATATTTTATAATTTTTTAAATATTTAATGCTCTTTCCATTTAATTTAGAGTATTAAATATTTGGAAAAAAAACGGAAAGCAAGTTGTTTTTCACACATAAAATATTAAAATGTTACCTATTTTATATCGAATTTAGGTGCCACTAAGGGATTTCTCTTTTTTGGTTTTTCTACTAGAAACATTAATAGGCTGAATCAAATCCGCACATGTCAGCGTTCACATTAACTAAGTAATTCATTGTCGTCATAAAAACACTAGTTACAGTTTTTTTTTTGGGAAAAAATGGATTGTAGCATCTTTTCTATCTTCAAAAATAAAATAATATTCTTCTGACTTTTAATTTAGAACCTAATTTAAGAGCTGATATTGGTTTTATATATAAAATTTATTTTACATGTTTATCAATTTTTTTCAACATTAATCTCATTGATATCCTCTTAATAATAAGTTTATCGAGTAGGAAAGAAAGAAAGAGAATTAAAAAAGATTATTAGACTATTTTTTTAAAAAAATTATATTAACTAATTTAACTAACGTCTTTTATCAATTTAAATTAGTTAATTCAGCATTACATTAGAGAATTATCAACCTATGAAATGAATAATAATTTAATTAAATCATAAAATAAAATCCAAACCATCCAAATTTCAATTGGACAGCTCAGATGGAACAACCACATTGCACCATATCCGCCCGCTTAACCTAACAGCATGAGTAGTAATTCTAGAGTCTAAAATTACACTCACTTATTCGTGGTGTCATGGATCATAGTGAACTTCAACATCCACAGACTTCTTTCTTTTTTTAAGAAAAAAGTCATTACAAAAACATCAAATAAAACAAAAGACTATCTCATGTCCTAATTATAAAACTTTATTTATAATCTACAAACCAGATCTTATAAGATCAGAGATAGTATCATCTAATCTCTCAACATCCACAAATTTTAACAATGGCTACTGGTCCAACCGACTCATTCCAACACATCACGCACGCCTTTTTTTTTTAAAAAAAAAAACTTCATTGGGCCCAAAAACAAACTTCCATGAATAGGTGACCCCTTTTAAAGTTTAATTTTTAAAGAAAAATCCCATTAAAAAAATTAAAATAATTAAATCTCAAATTAAGTTTGTTAACAACATTTTCAGGTTTTGATAACACCTAATTTGCGAACAATACATTTTTGTAGGAATACCTTATTTGTAATTTAGCAATTTCAAACTGGCTTTTGTGGATTCTTCCAAGTTTTTTTAACCATTAAAACTATTTTGAAATTCCCACTTGAATTTTTTGCATTAATATAATGAGAATCTTCAAAGGAAAAATCCAAAAATAAAAATAACTGTTAGAATTTTAAAATGACAAATCAGAAATTATTACAAAAACATGTCATTTGCTTTTCGAATGTAGTCATTTTCTTTACAAATGTAGTAACCAATATTGATTTAGAATTTTGAAATTCATGAGTCATTTTTTTGGGATTTTCCCATCTTAAAATGGCCAAAACATCCAACATCATGAGAGGCGGGGTTCACCAAAGAATTTTACTTTTGCTAAGGCTTTTCCTCCATACATGACTAAAGACCAAGAGTTGAGAAAAATTTTCCAAAAATGAAAGAAAATTCTATGTTAATGAAAATATACATATTCCTCTGCCACATACCAAAAGAATGCAGCCCCATCCGCGATGACATTAATTATGGAGATTATGTAATAAGACATGGCCCTATCATAAAGCCAGACTATGGAAGAAGCTTCTACTTCAGTAATACCTTCCCTATTTTCCTCATATATACTATCAATGACCACAAAGCAAGCCATGCTGAGATATAAAGCAAAACAACACCAGATCCTGCTAAAATGGCAGGCCCTCCATGGCTGAAAAAGAAAAAAGAATAGCACAATCAGGCATGCCCAATAGAGACGCACATGGATTTTGATCCTCTGCACCATATATTTAAGAAAAAGAGTGAAATGGAAAACAGGAAATGCATGAAACCCCACCTCCTCTCTCCCCCAGAATATAAACTAAACATTTATTTACTAAATGCAGAGGATTCAAACTCAATTGACATGGATTACTTCTTCACAACCAAAAACAATAATGCATCCAGAATACTGAAAGGAAGATCAACACCTGCTGTCCCGGGTCGCAAGGAGGATTGTTAATGCTGTCATTTGTGTGGCTGTTTTCCATTTCCCCAGGCTATTTACAGCAACAGCCTGTCATAAGAAGTTTCTTAGTATATATATATTCAAACCTTTTAGCATATATCAACCAGACAGTTAATTCAAATGCAGAGGAAGTATAAACAAACCTCTAAAAGCTTACTATCCTGGGATGCAGCCCATTCCCTGACCGCAGACATGGTTATCTACAACAAGTCACAAGAAGAAAGTGTTAAGACAACTGCCTTCAAAAATTGAAAAAGATGCCCCGAACGGAAGGAAAGAAGAAGGTATTGCCATATTAATCTCAGTCAAACAAATATGCTTGCCCACATGATTGACAACAAACACAAACATACTAGATCTAGATCCTATCAACAGTGTCGTTTCCAAAACCAAAAAGAAAAAAGGCAATCACATAATACATGACAGAGATTTGCATAATTCCCTCTCAATAAAAAGACATAATACAAAATCAAATCTAAAGCCTCCATGTGAATGTGAAGGGAGCTTATTAGCAGAATTTTGAAACACAGACAAAACTAACGGACAATACTGAGATCACTTATTCCCATCTTTCTAAGCCAAATTTCCTTGGTAAGACAGAGACAACAGCCATAGGTGATCTGTTATATAATAATAAATAATCTGTCAGAAGTTAGACTAGTTAGTCCAACGTTGAGTTAGAAATAGAAGTCAGTTAGGATATGAATATAGCCGTTAGGATTAGTATTGCTTTTACACACACACACACACACACACACAGGCTTATTCAATTCATGCAGCCTATGTTTTGAATAATACAGTAGAAGAATTCCCGTCCTCTCATCTCTGTCTCTGTCTTCTCTCTTCCCTCTAATCTGTTTCTCTCTTCTCCCTCTGCTTTTCCTCTCTTTCTCCCCTATTTGGCTCTCTTTCAAAGTCAGAATTACACTTCTGTATCATGATCCTGAAGCCAAATTTCCTTTCTGCACACTTCAGAATCAAGAGAACCTAATTCTTGCATAAATCATTGAATTTCTACAGTTTTCTGGAAAATATGTTGAGCTTAACCTGACTATGATAAATCACAATTTGAGAAACTCTAATCTATCCCAGATTGACATATTAGACCAATAAGGAGACGAGCAACCCTCTAAGCACCTCAGAGAAGGGACTTGTCAGAAAGTTACCTAACTTTGTTTCATGGCTACTCTTCCTTGGTTAGTGCACAACAAGATCATTAACTGTTCTGATTTCACGGCATTTACTAGAAATTTTAGTTTCATCTTATTAGTATGAGAATAATAGAATACCAAGGAAATTTTTGCAATAAATAAGGCATAGACACTAAAGACCTCATGGTATATGCTATATACCTATCAAAATGCATAAATTTGGCGATCACATGTAAGACGCTTGCCAGGTTCTTAGCAACAAAAGCTCTTATGTGAAACATGAATTAAACAAAGTAGATACAAGAGAAAAGTAGTTATTACCTCCCTACCAATTATGACAACTGAAGGTATAGTCAGTAGCCATGGGGCTTGTCCAAAATTGGCAACTTCCAATGGTCTGGTACATAATAAGACCAATGTTGTAGCAACCATGAGCTGCATTCAGAAATAATTACTTTCACCAAAGAACCAAATGGGCTCTCACATTTTAAAGAGGTTTAATGCATATAACATATTCAAAGGAAAAACCCACAAAGAGAAATACCTTGTCAGCCACCGGATCTAAAAATGCACCAAACGTTGATTTTAATTTCATCTGCATTGCAATCACATTGAAAATATAAAAGGATCAGCGCCATAACATTTGAGATCCTTTAAAAAAAATAGCTCTTTTCTTTATAAGATCGGTACCTTCCGAGCAAGATATCCGTCAAGCCAATCAGTAACTGCTGCAGCGATGAATATACCTGTGGTAGTAGCTGTTCCCCGCCAACCATCCATATAAAAGGCTGAACAAAATATCATAAAAATTAGCACTCAGCACATAAATCACATCAATTTCAAGACGCCCTTCTAGCAAGTGGTGCAGCAGCAGAAATAGTAATTTGCGAGAAAACTAGAACAAATAGTATTACAGGAATGCCCAATACAATAAAAACCAGCATCACCGAGGAACCAGTGGGGAAACAACCTCAACGCAACGTCGAATCTATCCATCCCAAGTATAAATATAAAAGCAGTGAGGATTCAAATGAAAGCTACAAATACACACATACTGGCAATAAGAATCGGCACGGCAGCTACACGCCCTAGAGTCAATATAGTAGGCAATGTAAGCACTTTGGATTGCTGCTCCGAATCCTGCATAGGAGGAGGAGGTCGATCTTTCTGCAAAAGTACCTCATTATTCGAGCCATCACAATCCTTCAAGTCCGATCCCATCTCTACCACAAGCCCAGACCTGGATGCAGAGCCGGACCCACCCCCAGAAACCCCCGATTTCTCAAAAGAAGACGAACTCAGAGCACGAACAGGGGCAAAAGACGGGGATCTAAGGTGGCGGACCCAAAACGCAAGCTGTAGCCCTAGAGTTATAGAGAAAGGAGCCTTATCGTGCGCCGGGGAAGGGGAATTTGCGCACGGTGTTATCCTCCACCCACGTAGGTGACGATGATGGTGTGCAAAATTTCTGTGGCTCCATAAAAGGGCCAACGAGGTTGTTTTGGGTCCAGTGGAGGAGGGTATGGCTGTGCGCGCGTAGACAGACGAAGCCGTTGCCGTGAATTTAAGGGCTGACATGAATTGGGTTCGAGCTCAGAAATCAAATCTCACGAAACTGAGAATTCCTCGGTTTCTCGGATCAGGGGATTGCCGAGAAAAGAAAGAACCGGAAAACAAAATAATAAATTAATTTTTTGGGTAAAATAAATGAATTATCAAGATTATTCCCTATAGTGGGCTCTTAATGGGACGGTTATTCAGGCCTGTTTGCTTGTCTTCTTTGTTTTCTTGTTCTGAAAATAATTTTATAAAATTGTTTTTTAGAATAAGTTTTGAAAACAAAAATAAAAAAATTTATTTGGATAATAATTTTAAAAAGTCATGCTTAAAAAAAGACATAAAAAATCACACTTGGTAGGTGATAGTTTTTACCCCTAGTGATAAGTGATAGATAAAGATAAGAAGAGAAGAAAATTTCTCAAAATTTTTCAAAACAAAAAATAAAAAATACAAAAATAAAAACAAGAAAACATGTAAATATTTTCTAAAAACATGTTACTGTTTTTTGTTTTTTAAAATAATCAACTTAAAGAAATTACCAAACAAAGGTTTTTGTTTTTCTTTTTTTAAAAATTAAAAACTATTTTCAAAATAAGAAACCAAACAAGTCCTTAATTTTCAGAATTACAAACGGAAGATTAATAAATGGAAATTGTTCATGCAATTATATACTTGATTACTTGAAGACAAAAAGTAAAATAAAAAATTTATAAATTATGAATAAACCCCTAAACCAATATTTAAAATTTTACAATAAACCTTCCATATGTTTCGCCATCATACCTTCTAAACTTCTATATTTATATACATAACTCTTTTACTATTGATTTTCTATTATTTCACTTGAGTAACATAAAATTAAAAGGGATTTATTCATACGTGACTTAAAAGTTTATGGGCTTATCTCCATATAACCTAAAATTGAATTATTTGCACACAGAAAAAATAATTAAAAGGATATTTGGTCAATAATAGTATGTTAATAATGGCTGGCAAAAAAAAAAGTATGTTAATAATGGGATCGATATGTGCCTAGGGGACATGCTAGATGGCGTCTAAAAGTTAGATTGCATCTCTAGTTTTTTTTGGTAGGTACAAATATCTTTCTATTAGAGATAATTATGTTTGAAATACTGTTAGGCACTAAATGTAAGTACTTCTCCCAACGAGAATTTAAACCTTAGTTCACCATGTTATAAAGTACTAATCTTTTTCATTAGACCTAATCTCATTGGTGATTGCATCTCTAGTTGTGAATTTAAAATACTGTTTATATCATCACAAGCCGCTTCTTTCAAGAAAAGCCCAAGCAATCCCAAAATCTATACGACATCAAAGGTCCAATCACTATAAATTCAATAGAAAATGAAAAATTCAAAGAAATTGTAAAGAATACTCAAGGTTTAATTTGCTATATTAAAAGATCATAATGGTAGTATATATTATTTCTGATTTTTAATATAAGACTTACTCGACTAATTTGAAGAGATTAAAAAATTAAATAAAGTACTTTAAAGTATTATATTTAATATTTTTTAAACTAATTTACTCAACTTATAAGTTGATATATAATCTAATAATACACATAAATATTTTAAAGATATCATATAATATATACTATAATTAAGTAATTTTTTAACTTTTTAAATTTTTTCAAATTAATTAATTAAGTCTTACAATAAAAATCAATACAATATATTGAGAGGGCAAATGTGAGACTGGCCATGCATATCCAGATCCAAGTTCAAGTTCAAGTTCAAGTTCTTATGAGCTATAGAAGTTTAAGCACGTGGCTAAGCATAAAGATTGATGAAGTTGGTATGACTTCATAATCATGAAGCATTCATTCCATCTTCAAGCTCATGTCATACCAACCTCATGAACTTCCATTTTCATGCTTAGCTACATGCTCTAGTTTCCATGGCCCATAAGAACATGCGCATTTATGGTTGAATCCACATGATCAATGCCCTATCCATACCGATCTGCATAGTATCATTGAAAGACATTTAATGTAGTAAAAATGGAACCCAAATATCTCTCTAAAATATCCTAAATCTTCTAGTCTTTATTAGGTTTCTAGAAATTGGGCTTTCAATGGTATGTCAAGGATTTTGGAATTGCGTTGGACCTTCTTAAATGACACTGCTGGAGATGACACGGACATATCACCTAAGACTTGAATGTCATGTAAGATATCACATTGACTTCAATGTAAAGGCGGATGCCAACTTTGACGTTACATCAATGCAACGTCAAGTACTACTTAAGATGATCTCCTATATAAATATATCTCGTACTTTTTCTGGTATATAGTATAAGTGATTTTAATTAAATTACTAGAACCAAAAGTAGTAATCACCTCATTAAATATGTTTTAAATTTAAATATTTTTCAATTTTACCCATAATAAAAGAAGTTGTGAAGAAGAAAGAAAAATAAAAAAAGGTATATTTAAATATTAATTGCAAGGACAAAATTGATAAGTAAGCATTAATTACTCCCTAAGCAACTTATACTTTAACTAAGCAATTTTTTTAGAAGTGGCTTATATTATTGATTGTAGGGAGTAGGAAGTAGTTTAATGATATAACAAAATAAGAGGGTGTTTGTATTAATTTTTTTAAAGTGATTTTACTATGTACACGGTAAGCATGTGAAGGGAGTTTTATCTCAACTTACTTGTGAAACAAGCACCACTAAAACAATACAAAGTTATCTCCACAAAATTACATATTTAAAGTTAAAAGGGTCACTTGCACATATACTCCCTCCGTTCCTTATTATAAGAGACATTTGATGCTTATAGCATGTTCCTATATATAAGAGACACTTAAAAGTTGTCTCTACTTTTTTGTTTTGATTTCTTATTTTACCCATATTTATTGTCTCCAACTCACACTTTCTCTCCCTCCCAGTTTTCTTTTTTTCAATAATTTAATTGTTCTCTCCCATGCTCTCTCTCCTTATTAATGAGGGCATTTTTGGAAAAAAAATTATATTTTTTACATATTGATTGTTCTTAACTAATTTTAACTGCTTTTTTTATCAACGTAATTTAGTTATTCATCTCTTATAATAAGGAACGGAGGGAGTATTAAAATTCCATGAAGTTTTGTGTGATTTAGTTATTAAGAATATGTAGCCAATTATACAATGAAGTTTATATTTTCTCATTATATTAAATTGCTCTCCTTGCTAACAAAAGTTAGTCCCTTTGGTAAAGAATTACTTATAACCTATAATTAAACTATGAGTTCAAATCTCTCTACTGATGTAAGGGTCTTGTTGTTGGGTAATCTGTAAGTATCTCTGTAAACATTCTTTAAACTTGAAGGCAGGTAATCCTTATAAGCCCTAAAACCCAACTCATCTAAATTTTTATTCACCAAAAACATTGCTCTCTTTTTATTTATTTTCAAACTTCATACGTGTGTGTGTGTGTATATATAAAGATAATATAAATATTTGTTTGTATATTCTGTTGCCCACATGTACAAGCATATGAAAGATGAGGCTAATAATTAACCTGTTCAGAGTATTGAAAAAGATCTAGGGCTAAAAAGGGCCGAGAGGAATCCAGGTGTTCCTTTAGATTGCAGTCTTAAATAGATTGTTTATTTCTGTAAGAAGAGTAATTAAGAATTATGAGAGGGCCCTCAATTGCATTCAGGCAAAAATTTTGGCAAGAACGGAGTAAGAAAACACATAATGCAAGTTGGGTGGGTTTTGCTTGGAAGTTAAGGTGTGGAAGCTTAACTTTAACAGTGCTGTTAAGAGTAGTGGCTTAGCACCATGTGTTGTTGTTTTATGGTTTTTTGTGAAAATATTAAGCAGAAAAATAATATACTTTTCTTATTATCAACTAAATGCTACGACTATACATAAACAGATTTAATTAGGGTTATAGTAGAAACCCTATCTCAGCTAAAAATCTGAATCTAATCAAATCTTTAGGATTTGAATTAGATATGCAAAATACATTGAATATAGAATAAGAAATTTCAAATTTCAAATAGCATTGAATGACAATAATTAAATGTAGAACTATCTAACTCTTGTGGGCTTAGGCCTCAAACTTTAGCTTAACTATAGACTTTACTAGGATATCTGCCACTTGATGTTTTGTAGGCACGTAGATCACTTTAAAATTTTTTCCTTCAATCTTCTCATTTATAAAATGGCCGTCAATTTCAACATGCTTTATTCTATCATAATGAACAAGATTCTTTACAATCTTGATGGTAGCCATACTGTTACATAGTACTTTTATGGAGCCTTCATAGCTCAATTTCAATTCTTCAAATAGCTGGTCTAACCATAGATCTTCACACGAACCAAGAGCTAATGTTCTTAGTTCAACTTCTGAACTACTTCGAGAGACTATAGGTTGTTTTTTGCTTCTCCAAGTTACAAGGTTAACACATACAAAGGTACAATAGACTATAACAAACGTTCTATTGATAGCTGAACCTCCCCAATCTACATCTTTAAAAACTTCAATACCTCTATTAGTCCTTTTTTTTTATTTAAATAGTGACCTTTGCCAAGTGAGGATTTAAGGTACCTGAGAATTCTAAAAACTTTTGTGATGTGTTCTTTATTGGGTAGGCTGGAGAACTGGCTTACAACACTCACTACATGAACAACGTTTGGTCTAGTGTGAGAAAGGTAGATTAACTTGCTAACTAGCTGTTAGTATTGTTCTCTGTCAACTAATGGGCCATCCTTATTCAAGCCCAATTTTCTATTTAGTTCCATAAGAGTAGTACACGGCCTACACCCTAACATTCCTATCTTATGTAATAAATCAAGTTTATACTTTTTTAGACACAACAATTCTAGTTCCAGATTTGGCCACTTTCATGCCAAGGAAGCATCTCAAGTCTCCAAGGTCTTTTACTTCAAATTTTGTTGCTAGTAGCCCTTTTATTTTTTCAATTTCAACAGAGTCATTTCCATTAAGAATGATATCATCAACATAAACAATTAAAAGAGATATTTTCTCCTCCCTATGCTTAATGAATAGTGTGTGATCTAATTGACATTGAGAGTAACCATACCTTTTAACAGCTTGTGTGAATCATTCAAACC